CCACCCCTACTTTATTTATTCTTCAATTTTCTTTGGAATTAGAATTTATATTAATGAACTATACCCAACATAATCAACCACAATTGTTTATTAGACGCTAGTAATTAAACCACATAAAAATCAATTTCCATACAAAAATCTACCGTATTTTCTAATAAATCTACACCATCTAATAAATCTGCACAAAAAGTTAAGTCTACAACACACGAATCTGACCATGAAAAAAATCTGCAACGAAGGAAAATAAATCTACGGATTCTGTTCAAAAATCTACGAAACAAATCTGCACCAAAAAATCCCAAACTAAAAAGTCTACAAACAAATTTAAGTCTACTACATACATCTTAATACATCTGCACCAAAGATAATAAGTTTGCAAAATAAGTCTACTACACCACATAAAAACCAACTTCCATACAAATATCTACCGTCTTTGCTAATAATCTACACCTCTTGTAATAAATATGCACAGAAAATTAAGTCTACAACACACGAATCTGACGGTGTAAACAACTCTGCAACGAACAAAAATAAATCTACGGATTCTGGTCAAAAATCTATAAAACAAATCTGCACCAAAAGATCTACAAACTAAAAAGTCTGCACACAAATTTAAGTCTACTATATACGTATTAATATATCTGCACCAAATTGAATAAGTCTGCAAAATAAGTCTACTACACCACATAAAAACGAACTTCCATACAAAAATCTATAGTCTTTGCTAATAAATCTATACCTCTTGTAATAAATCTGCATAGAAAATTAAGTCTACAACACATGAATCTGACGGTGTAAACAAATCTGCAACGAACAAAAATAAATCTACGGATTCTGGTCAAAAATCTACGAAACAAATCTGCACCAAAAGATCCCAAACTAAAAAGTCTACAAACAAATTTGAGTCTACTACATACGTCTTAATATATTTGCACCAAATGTAATAAGTCTGCAAAATAAGTCTACTACACCACATAAAAACGAACTTTCATACAAAAATCTACCGTCTTTGCTAATAAATCTACACCTCTTGTAATAAATCTGCATAGAAAATTAAGTCTACAACACACGAATCTAACAGTGTAAACAAATCTGCAACGAACAAAAATAAATCTACGGATTCTGGTCAAAAATCGACGAAACAAATCTGCACCAAAAGATTTCAAACTAAAAAATCTGCAAACAAATTTAAGTCTACTACATACGCTTAATATATCTGCACCAAAGATAATAAATCTGCAAAATAAGTCTACTATACCACATAAAAACCAACTTCCATACAAAAATCTACCGTCTTTGCTAATAAATCTACATCTCTTGTAATAAATATGCACAGAAAACTAAGTCTACAATACACGAATCTGACAGTGTAAACAAATCTGCAACGAACAAAAATAAATCTACGGATTGTGCTAAAAAATCTACGAAACAAATCTGCACCAAAAGATCTCAAACTAAAAAGTCTGCACACAAATTTAAGTCTACTACATACGTCTTAATATATCTGCACCAAAGATAATAAGTCTGCAAAATAAGTCTACTACACCACATAAAAACCAATTTCCATACAAAAATCTACCGTTTTTACTAATAAATCTACATCTCTTGTAATAAATCTGCACAAAAAATTAAGTCTACAACACACAAATCTGACCTTGTAAACAAATCTGAAACGAACAAAAATAAATCTACGGATTCTGCTCAAAAATCTACGAAACAAATCTGCACCAAAAGACCATAAATTAAAAAGCCTGCATATAAATTTAAGTCGACTACTTACGTCTTAATATATATGCACCGCAGAGAATAAGTCTGCAAAATAAGTCTACTACACTTTGTTTTCAATATTATTCATATATACAACACATATAATAACTCTACAACAAATACATTCATTGTTTCAGTCCACCAAAAACACGGTGACAATATGGAAAATAAGTGTCTCGGTAAAATAAAAAATAATGGCAGTTTTGTAATTAGTTTTTTTTTTATCAAGTGATATAAGGGTATTTTGGTATGGAAAATAATATAGTAATTTTTTTTAATTGTAGATTAGTCAAGTAATAAATTTGTAATTTTGGGCTATTATAGTTACGCTCCTTTTTTTATTGATAAATGTGATGATTACTTCTTCTCCTTTTTTGGTCATGAACAATTGTGATGATTACTAAAAGAAATTGTTACTTCGAAATATTTTCTCCATCTAAGTCTCTTTCTTTCTGATTAAAAAAGTCAATAATTATTTGGTTCACACAGTTAGTATAAAGTCAAGGATTTTTAGGAATACTTTCTTTTCTCTAACCAACTTTTCTTTTTGCAACAAGACGTATACACCTTCTTCAGCTGTCTTTAAAGAAGAATTATTATATTCTGTCTGAACAAATACAACAAAATTCCTTTCTTTCTCTACAAATGACATAAATTTGGGATTTTAGACTATTACACATTAACACATAAAGAAACGACCCATCTTTTTAGAGGCTATAACAAAGAAAAGTCGAAAGCGACAATGACTCAACTTTTTAGTTGGTTTTTCAAAAACGTTGCGTATGTTTTGACGCCATAATTCATTATTTCAAACTAGTTTCTCCAAATGGTTCGCGAAAGGCAAAATCTACCGTGTTGTTGTTGAATTGTTGATATTAATAACTAAAAGTGTATATCAACATTTCTATATATCACCTAATAGAGAAATATGCATATTAATCGCAATCTCAATCTCAACTCATTACCAAAAAAAAAGTTCTCAACAAATGCAATTTATTTCCTTTTAACCTTGACCATACTACTTCTTTGCCTTTATCAACTTATCTATAATTTAATTGTTCTTGTCTCTCTTGATATAAAAATAAATTTCAGGTAGTAATTTTAGCAAAGTTTTACGGACTTTTAAGAAACGTCTGATAAATAAATTAATATATTGTTTAGCTTCGCGACAAGTTTCCTTTTTCTTTCTCCAAGAGCCTAGTCTATTTATTAGTTCTTGGAACGAAACAATTAATTACTAGCTAATCAAAATAAGCTTACGTTATATAAATATAATAATTAACCAACAACGCCCGTAGCCATTAGCTCTATTTTTGTCATACGTGGAATTTAGTAAATGATAATGACCCTAGTCTACTACGCGTAATTGCATTATATTATTAAAATTAAAATTAATTGATATGGTTGGACGAACATTATCTTATACACAATACTATACTATATCACATGCGTTTCTTAAGAGAGTTGACATTGCTATTCATCGTCTCCAAAGAACAACGCCACCTGTTTCCATATTTATTGTCTGTGATTAAACTAAATTTAACATCATAATGATTGTGATTATCTTTTTGTAGTTTCACTTTCATAAAATTTTAAGGTTAGTGTTCAATGGTCAATTAAAGGGAAACAAAATTAATATAAATAAATAAACAAGGCGAGAATTACGTGAGAACTCTCCTTTCTCAAATTTAGATAACTACGATATGCAGACGCAAACAAAAAGAAGAAGTAAATATGGTAGTATCATAGACATAGAGTATATAATAAGAAAGAGAAAAAAAAAAAAACACTAAATACTCATGCAATAAAGCCACATGCATATAGCGTAAGGAAAGGAAGACAAAATTAAATTTTTGGAAATATACACCAAAGAACTTGTTGTTATAAATTCATTGCCAGTTGCACATACAGCG